TCTGACCTGTTCCCAGCATCCTATAGTTTCTTCACTGCCAGGTTCATTTTTTCGTTCGATAGAATGCATTCCTGCAATAGTGGTGAGTATATAGTTCGTGCAAATGTACTCCTCCTGTACCAGGATTATACCTGCAAGTATATGCGTTTCTTTACCATTCATTTCTTTGCATTCGTTTCTTTCAGTTCGTGCACTATGTCTTTCATTAATTTACTGCTTAACATGTGAGTATATGCATATATATCTATAGCAAGTTGGCATTCTATAAACCTGGTCTATGTCTGTTCGGTTAATTTTATTAATCTTAGTATTTGTGAGTTTTTATATGTTTCATTAATTTGCACCTTTTTACATATTAAAGCTTGCTGTATGTATTTCACTGCTCCTAATCCATGGATACTCTTTTCTCTTTTACTCCACCTTGTTCTGGAAAAGTGGTATGACTTGTTATGTTTGATCTTATCATGCAATTGTTATATATATATATATATATATATATATATATATATATATAGTAGTTTTAATAAGTGGTCTCTGCCTTAGAATTTGGTCACAAGTGACTGTTTAATGTGTGTAAATATGCATATAGGGATCAAGGTCTGTTATTAGCTAAATGTCCTCTTTTTAGGTGATATTTTATTTAACAAGAAGCAATCCAGTTTATCCCATTCCCTTCTCTATATTTTGATGAGGTATGTTGTCTCTCATCTCTTTTTTAATTAAGAAAAACAACTCTTATTTCATTTATAATCTATTAGGCATTAAGGTTAATTTTTGTACCCAGGACAAGTACTCCAGGCTGCTCAACTTCGCTAAGAGCTGTGTAGTTTGTTTTGCCTTTTGTACATCAACCTATTACATTCCCAAACTAATATGGTTATTAGTATATATAGGCCTCTCTTCATTGTCAGCATATTTTCATTTATCCAGTCTATTAGCTCTAGACATATTCAAGATATGTTATTTCCATATATACTAGTTATCATTATTTTATCCTCTATGTGAACTGGCTTAGTTATTTTTTTCCTGTCCAACTAGATAAAACTTTCATAGGATTCTCCACCTTAGTTAGAGGTCCCACAAGGCCAACGCCAATCCTCATGTTCGGAATTACTATCGCTAATCGGTCTAACTTATAATTAAAACCTTGCAGTTGGTATAGTTAGGGCTTCACCTGTCACTCCCGTTCAATATTGATACTGGTTATTTTCACCAAGAGGCCAACACTGTGCCACTTAGGCTATTTTGCATTTTCTAGTATGTTTAAGATATCTTCAGCTTTAGAATTACGACCACAAAAGGTGGAAGCCTGGAGTTGTGGGAGGGGCTTCCCCAGCTTATAAAACAACTACCAGAGCTTCCACACTTACCTGACGTCGGCTTGTGAAGTTACCCTCCCATCTCTCCCCCTTTTTCATACATAATTTTACCAGGTGGGCTCTCTTATAAGCCTAACTGATAGCTGGTTTCGACACTCAATTGATTTTGTATAATCTAGTATGTACATGTTTAAATTATATTTAGCTTTATAATACTGACCACAAATATTTATTATATATATATATATATATATATATATATACACATATACATATACATATATGTATATATATATAAATACCTTGATAGGGAGCACTCGTATGACTTGTAGTGGTAAAAAGATGCTTTTATTCAGCAATCAAAATCACAGTATGTCAGTGTCGGCGTTTCAGTCCATCCGGACTTTTATCAAGACAAGAAATAAGTGATACCATAATAGTTTATATACAAACAAAGATGGTGCTCATTAGAGGATGAGTTAAAACGAAAACGAGGTTTAGTGAGGTCATAAGTGACGTATATATGAACACAATACGTCATTAGACTGATTAAGCCGGTGGGGTGTGGTTTCCAGAAAAAAGGTGAGAAGTGAAATAAATATTTACATCATATACATATATACAAAGTACAGAGGAGGTCTAAAAGATGATGTGTTGGTGGAACCCAGAGCTAGTAAGGTCTAGATAAGAAAACTTTCAATTTATACGTATTAAGTTACAGGGTTAGAGGACCACCAGAGATAATCATTAGACCTAGGAGGAGAGGTCATTACAAAAGATACAGCTGTGGAAGTTGTAGTAGCCACGAGGTATAGTAATAGAGAATCGTAGATGGTATAGTGGACATAGAAAAAAATATATATACGATAGGGGAGATAGTCCCCATAGGGAATAAGTTAACAGTTCTCAATGAATACATAAACACAATATGGGAATAACATAGTATTAAAGAAAATAAATGTATCAAACGACAGAAGTAATCATGCTCATAAATTATCTTCTTGGTAGGAAACAGTATAACGGATTCTTTTAGTTAAGTCCATGTGGTGATACAGTGTCTAGAGTTTAAATCCAGAATGCCTCTCTTTGTAGTAATCTGGTATCTCTATTGCCACCACGAGATGGCACCGGCACATGATCTATCACCATGAAATATAGGGACGGTAACGAATGTCCTTCTTCCAAAAAGTGTCTAGCCACTGGTGTATTGGCTGTATTTTTAAGTAGGGCCTGGCGTATAGCTGACCTATGACCCCTCATTCGTTTCCCTAGGTCATTCAAAGTTTTGCCTACATAGTCTAGTCCACATGGGCACATGATGCGGTATACCACATGTGTAGTGGTACAGGTAATCCTGTGTCTAATCTTGAATTCCTTCCCCATTCTTGGGTGACAGAATACTTTTCCGGGAGCCGTAGAGTTACAGGCAGTGCATTTAAGATATCTATAACAGCCTAAGTTTCCAACCGATGAGGGTGTAGATAATAGTGCATATTGGTCTGTGTGTACCAAGAAGTTACGTAAATTCTTTCCTCTCCTGTAGCTCATGACTGGATTCTGTTGAAAAGAGAAGGTAACGTAGGATCCTTTCTCAGAGTGTCCCAATTAGCGCATATAATAGATGCCACTCGTTGTGATTCCGTATGCAATGTTTGAGGAAAGATTAATCGATCACTTATGCCTGATCGTGTAGTCGGATCTGTCATTGATTGATATGCCTTTTGTACAGCCCGGTTCAAAATAGGTTGAGAGTATCCCCTCTCAACAAATTTCTGGTACATCTCTTTCAAATGTTCTTGGGCTCTATTGGAGTCTGAGTTGTTCCGTAGATCTCTCAGAAACTGTGACACAGGCAAGGACTCTTTCAGGTTTTTAGGATGAAAGGTCGTAGTGTGGAGAATGGTATTTCTGTCTACTGATTTCGAGTATAAAGTGTGCTCAAGTCTGTTGCCTGTAATGAAGATTTGTAGATCAAGAAAATCTGTCTGAGATTTACTTGCTTGGAAAGTGAATTTCACCGGTGAGTTTATAGAATTCAGTGAGTCCATCATAGAATTAAATTGATTTTCTGCTCTTTGCCAAATTATAAAAATGTCGTCGATAAAGCGAAAATATTTCAGTATATATTTATCGTATTGTGCCATGATATGTTTTTGTTCGAATATATACATAAAAGAGTTTGCATACATGGGAGCCATAGGGGCCCCCATCGATGTACCGGTATTCTGTATGTAGTATTTGTTCTCAAATCTGAAATAGTTCAGCGTTAAACATAGCTCTAATAGTTCCATGATGTATTCAATAGGTGGAGACATCATATTTGAATGATGGAGTAAAACTTCTCTCATGGCTTGGATACCTTCATTGTGCGGGATTACTGTATAAAGGCTACTTACATTAATAGTAGCTAATAAGATGTTATTAGTCGGTAAATAAAGTTGCTGTAGTACTTTTATCACTTCTCCCATATCTTTAAAACATGTTGGTAAAGCCAGAACTGGTACTTTCAATTTATTATCCAGCCATTTCTCAATTGGCTCCAGAAGACCACCTATTGCCGATACAATTGGGCGGCCAGGAGGATTTTTCGGGTCTTTGTGGACCTTGGGAAGGGTGTATAAGATAGGGCAGCAGGGGTGGGTTTCAAAAATAAATTCAAATTCATTCTGGGTTAAGTATCCAGCTTCCAATCCTCTGATTAATGTAGATTCAATGAGTTTACTAAAATCTTGTGTGGCAATAGAGATACCAGATTACTACAAAGAGAGGCATTCTGGATTTACACTCTAAACACTGTATCACCACATGGACTTAACTAAAATAATCTGTTATACTGTTTCCTACCAAGAAGATAATGTGTGAGCATGATTACTTCTGCCATTTGCTAAATTTATTTTCTTTAATACAATGTTATTCCCATATTGTGTTTATGTATTCATTGAGAACTGTTCACTTATTCCCTCTGGGGACTATCTCCAGTATTGAATATATATTTTTTTCTATTTTTTTTATATATCCACTATACCATCTATGATTCTCTATTACTATACCTCATGGCTACTACTACTTCCACAGCTGTATCTTTTATAATGATCTCTCCTCCTAGGTCTACTGATTATCTCTGGTGGTCCTCTAACCCTATAACTTAATATGTATAAATTGACATTTTACTTATCTAGACCTTATTAGCTCTATTTGGGTTCCACCAACAGATCATCTTTTAGACCTCCTCTGTACTTTGTATTTATGTATATGATGTAAATATTTATTTCCCTTCTCACTTTTTTTTGGGAAACCACACCCCACAGGGTTAATCAGTCTAATGACGTATTGTGTTGTTATACGTGTCACTTATGACCTCACTAAACCTCGTTTTCGTTTTCACTCACCCTCTAATGAGCACCATCTTTGTTTGTATATAAACTATTATGGTATCACTTATTTGTTGTCTTGATAAAAGTCTGTTTGGACTGAAACGTTGACACTGACATAATCTTGATTTTGATTGCTGAATAAAAGCATCTTTTTACCACTACAAGTGCTCTCTATCAAGGTATTTTTATATGATTAGCCGGAGGTTGCACCGAGGCATTGACAAGACTGGGAGCATTTGAGTGCGAGACACAAGGAATTATATATATATATATATATATATATATATATATACCCTATAAAGCATGCTGGATCCTTACTCCATATAGGCTATTTTGCCTTACACAAATATATATATATATATATATATATATATATATTATATATATATATATATATTTGTGTAAGGCAAAATAGCCGTATATGGAGTAAGGATCAATGTTTAGATATATAATGTATATATATATATATAGATATTATTTGCCCCTTACACAAAATATATATATATATATATATATATATATATATATATATATATATATACACATATATATATATATATATATATATTTGTGTAAGGGGCAAAATAGCCGTATATGGAGTAAGGATCCAGCATAAGCTTAGATAGTGTAAAGGGAGCAAGTCGGTTGTGGTGTGCCGATACCGACGATACGGTAGGCCTGTAAATAAAGAGGGCCCACCAAGGAGAAAGAAAGTAAAGTAAATGGAAAGAAAAGAGAAAGTGTTGAAATGAGGAGTGGGTGGGAGGGTCATTCTGATGCTGACCTCAAGCGATATGAGTCAGGTAAAGGGTGTCCCTTATATAGGGGAGTGAATTAATTTAAGCCCCTCCCACAAATACAGGCAAAACTGCCTTAATACTTGTGTAAGGGGCAAAATAGCCGTATATGGAGTAAAGATCCAGCATTATCTTAGGATAGTGTAAAGGGAGCAAGTCGGTTGTGGTGTGCCGATACCGACGATACGGTAGGCCTGTAAATAAAGAGGGCAAAAATGAATAATCAAAGATTTAATACAGTCAACAAATATATACAAATTAACCAGACATTTCCTTAAATGCATTACAGTATTTAATTCCTGAAAGGATTTTGAAGGTAGGAATCTAGGACCGAAAGTGGGCACCATTTGTTGTGGGTAGGATAGTATGTTATCTCTACTGTTGGTGCATGTTGACTCATTTCGGAATGTGGTAGAGCCAATAGGTAATGATATATGTGTTTACGTACGTGGGATCGTTGAAGACAATGATCTGTCTGAGTGGTGGTGATGGTAGTGGTAGTATATATTTGTGGGAGGGGTTACCTAGCATATTTAACCCCTTAAGGACCAAACTTCTGGAATAGAAGGGAATCATGACATGTCATGCATGTCATGTGTCCTTAAGGGGTTAAACACAAGGAACCCCCTACTATGGGTCATTATTGTATGGTTTATGTACTGACCCAACTTCCAATACCGATCTAAGAAGTTTTTCCTCGTGTCACACAGCATAATACTGCTACAATACACGTGGGTCTTCCGTTGTTCATACCTCTGCAAGCAGTTTCAGCCCAATTTTGTCCTGAGGCAAAACATGTAAAGCAGAGCTGTATGCTGGTGGCCTCTTTGTGCCTCTGCAAGATGTGATTCCCAACAGCTATCACTCCCACGTGATTCAGCATACACACGAGTTTCAAACAGCCACTGTTCGGCTCACTGCAGCTTTACGTTATCCCATTTAAATGCATATCGCTATATCCAACTGTAAGTTATTTGGCCCTCATTTGGCCGCCATAAATTTATTCTAACATGTACAACTGTTCCCAGTGCGAATTGACAGGTGTTCGCTCATCATTCAGCCAATTCAAATCTAAACATTTTGGTCTATGTTCAGCCACACTAATTTATTTAATATATGCTCATTCTGCCCTCGTTAGGCCATTAACTCAGACTTTAACGTTCACTTTTGGCCATTCGGCCATTTTCATGCCTACTATCTGTTCGGCTAGTACTAATAGCTACAAGTACATTCGGCCTTAGTTAGGTCATTTTTTTGATGCTATGTGTTCGGCCCTCATTCAGCCAAAATATGTAATGTCTGGCATTCAACCAGATCGTCATATAAATAATTTTATTTACTTACATGACATCTGGTCTAATTTTGGCCTAAAGCAATATAATGTAATTAATTATGTAACTGTATGAATAAGTTGTCTACACACTTGTCCATAGCAGATTACAATGTCCTCATTTTGGTTATCCCTCAGTGTACTATAATCATGCCTGGCCCTCATTTGACATACCTCTAACATACATTTGGCCTTGGCACATCAAATTACTAAACGATCCTTTAGATCTGGCCATCATTTGGCCTTATGTCAACGAACTACCAAACATTAAGTTTCAAGTCTATACATTTACATCTGGCACTCATTTGGCCTTGCCATCTTGAATTAGCAAACATTACATTTCACTTTAATACGCTTACACCTGTCCCTTATCTGCTACAAACCACCACGACATGCTTCCGGATTTGATTTGGAGCATTACCTACAACCAACTTTACAATTCATTGGTCTATAGGCAACAAGTTCAACAAGATCTTAATTCTGTCACAGGTCAATTTAAGACAAATACTGTAATATCACAATTCTTCTGCTAGCAGTCAATAGTTTCAGGTATCACATTCAACCCCACATTCCATGTTGCATACGTTACCCTTACTCGGCATCATTAGGCCTATATTAACTATTGTCATACGAACCCCAATGGGCCACAATATTATACACCTAAATTGAGCCACCTACAACTTTTCACATGATTACAATATGTATAAACTTCTATACTGGTTACTTCACACCTAAATACTATAAGTTAAGATAACTGTATCATTCATCTATAACTAGTATACATGTTTGTAATTTATTATAGGTTGTTCTTTAGAAAGTCACCTTGACATTACTTACCGTGAAAAAGTTTACAGTAGGATTACTATTTTCCAATGCTACCATACAATTACTCAGGTATCCACACCACCCAATTGCATTTTATTCTATACAGGCCTAAACGTCATAAGTTTCCCTGTCCTTTTGGCCCTCTTACACTTCTCCTCCACCACCAGTATTCAGTAAGCAGAAATCATTACCAAGACAGGTCTGTAATACTCTTCAATCAATTACCAGGGTACACAACATAACTACATACCCATTCTTCTTCTTATTATTATTATAATTATGGTTATTATTATTATTTATATAGCGCCATAAAATTCTGAAGCGCTTTACAATAGGTGGACGAACAGACCTGTAGTTATAACCATACAAGTTGGACACACAGGAACAGAGGGGTTGAGGGCCCTGCACAATGAGCTTACATGCTAGAGGGATTGGGGTAAAATGACACGAAAAGGTATGTTTCCACATTACGAGTAATTCACACAAGTCCTGGGACTCATATTAGTAATAGTGCAAGGTATGTAGACTCTCTGACATACAACATACAGTGTGTTACATTTTGTTCCCACCTCCAACTCATACATAGGGTCAGATAAACATGCTTTAGGATATATGTGCTGTTAATAGTTAAGATTACACAAATATGTGATCCCACAAGGCCAATTCACCCATTGGCCCAACTCATAGTTAGAGCTTAGCAACACCCATTTTAGATTTATTGTCAGGGCTTCATCAGTTATGGCCACTCATGGAATCTTTTACAAGTCACAGAGTGTCCAACATCCATGCCACATCATTTGGTAGTGCCTGTAGCATTACACTGTTTTAGCTAATTGCTTTGCCATTCAGCTCTAAGTAAGTCACCAGTTGAATTTAGGTTGCACACTCAACAACTTCTCTTACAATATTCATGGAATTAAAATATTTGTAGTATGTCTCATGCCTCAGAACAAGGAGATATTTTCTCTCTCCCCAGCACTCCCACTAGACCCTCCACCCCTTCCTGTCCAAGCACAGGAACTTGTAAGTCCTACTTCACTGAAATTGCAGCCAAACTCAGGCATAGAGGTACACCGTTTCCAGCTTCAGCTTGGAAAGCTGAACTACACAGACTAATGATTTCTAATTTTGACACTCCCCGACTAGGGACCAGTACTCAAGAAGGGGGATTCACAGACAGTCTGGCAGAAATGCACGATGACCACCATAATATCCTCTATCAATACCATGAACTATATATGGGAGAAGATGGAATTTTGGAATTCCAAATTCTTCCATTGATCACGCTACCTCAAACTCTGCTCATTCTGCCTTTCAGGGTAACATCTCAAACACTTGCTCAACACAAAGTTCCAAGTTCCTTCTGCTATTAAGAAAGACATCTGGAAAGGCCTAACTTGGTTTCCTTGTTAATTGCATCTCAGGACTTGGTTGAGAACAACGCCTGCTGTTATGGGGACTTCTCTGCAGTACTTAAAGCTAGAAACCAAAGACTTAACAAGAAATGGGTGTGGACCCTAAAGGAGAGAGAGCAGACATGCAATAGCCTGCAAGCGCTGAAACTCCACGTACCAGCATTAAAATTGTTGCATATCTGCACCTTTCCCAAGAACACTATGGGTCTGCCCATGGTCTTTAAGACCTTTCTGTTCTGCTGGGACAGGTGCTAGTCTGACTTGTGGTGGGTAAACTGGGTTTGTTAGGGTACAAACTGGTGGAATAGTGCAAATAGCACAAGACTGGCTCCAGTTTTAACGGATAATTAATTGTGCCAAAGATGCTGCTGCTGCCTTGGCTGAGAATTACTTGTGATAATCATAGTAGGTGAAACCACCAAACCTATGCCCCAAGTCCACCAATTTATATAAGTAATGATCCAGTTCTTCTCTATGGTGAGGGGAAGAAGAATACATAAGATCCCTATATAAGTGTGTTTTAAAATCAAAGATCTTTAAAAATAATAATGGGCATTATGTACTTACTGAACAACATTCTAAAAGAAATGAAATGGGGCCACCTAGAGACATTCACCAATATCCTATAGAGAACCAATGGTGCCCAGTGAAAATACTTGATGAGTTTTGCCTTTCAGTCACTGGCCAACTAGGGAATGCACCCCTCTTTATGTTACATGGTAACCCACTCACTGCTTCAAAATTCATATTGAACAAAGGGACACTGTTGGCAAAAGTTGAGTTTGATCCTCTATCATATTCATGTTATTCATTTAGAACTGGGACTGCTTAGTTTGAGGATAATTACATGCAAATTGGAGGAAGGATTTTGGAATTTTACAACTCTTTCATATGTTGCCCCCTCTTTTTCAAGGAACCAAAAGTAATAGGACAATTGACCCAAAAGATGTTTCATGAACATATATGGGCTATTCCTTTGTTAATTCTTAATTTAAGCGGGAAAAGGTCTGGAGTTGATTCCAGGTGTGGCATTCACATTTGGAAGCTGTTGCTGGGAACCACAGCATGTG